GGCGGCCGGGAGGGGAGAAAATAGCCCTGATTCCCTGCGGCTGCTCGGCGTCACGTACGCACCGTGCCCTCCCGGCAGAGGAGCAGGGGCTGGCGCGGGGAGGGCATGGCTCACTTTTTTCTTAGGAATGCCTCCCTCCGTCTCGCCGCTGCAGAGAAGTTCCCTTTTGGTGTTTACATGGTGCTTGTGAGCCCTCGATGGCCGGGGACTAGGCTGAAGTCATGCACCAAAGGGCATCTGAAGTGGTGGAGAAGCCAGGCGCTCGCCGCAGCGTGGAGCAGGGGCGGGGGGCCGCCACGGGCTCCGCCAGGCGGTTGCTCAACCACAGGAAGAACTTGTTTCCAGCCCCAGATGGTGATCACATCGTGCCATGAGACCAGGAGGATGGAGAGAGCTCCTGAGAGCTTTGTTTAGCTCTTGTGCAACTCTGCACTCCCAGCCCACGAGTTAACCCTCCTGAGCCACCTGGGCTTATTCCACCATTGCCCTGAGCCGTACAAGGGACGGAGCAAAATCAGCAACGCCTAGTCGCGGCTCTCAGGGCAGCCCTAAACGTGCAAAAACCTTGAAGGTCACTAAAGAAGGGTGTGAGGGTCACACAAGGAGGTCCCCAGCCCAAGGTCATTCAAAGCCAGTGACAGATCAAACTCCAGAGCTTCTGGTGCAGGCTACCGGACTTAAAATGCTCCCTTACACATCGCTGGTCATTGAGGTAGAGCCCTGGGGAACAGATTTTGACTGGCGGCGGAGCGACTTTGCTCAGCCAGGCACAGCGGCTTCGTGGTGCTTTGGTCAATGAAGAGCAGGGCTGTCCCCATGCCAGCCCCCTGCCCAGCCCCACCTCAGCCTGCGGCAGCGAGCCGCAGCGTGCAAGGGCAGCACGTCTCAGCTGCGGACACTGGAAGCCTGTGTGAAGCCAAGAGTTCATCCCGCTGGAGGAATAATCTAGGAGAGCTGCTGGCCACGATTCCGATGCAGCTCTCCTTGTGCCAGGTACGGCTGGCTGCTCGTTGTGAGCCCCCAGGGAAGCAGAGCTCTTCTCGAACAGCACAACAGCCAGATTCCAGGGTCTAGGTCTGGATTTGCTTAGGAACTGCAATTTAATAATGCTTTTTGGAAGAGGAGCTGGCTTGAGAGTTGGCCTGGGGTCCACACAAACCAGCCGGGTGAGGAGAGGTAATAACCCGTACTCTGAGCCCCGTGCTCATCCCCCACTTCCCTCCTCACCGCAAAGCCAAACACACCCACTAGTACCTTCATCCTAACTCTTCCCACCACAAGCCAACCATGAACATCCAAGAAGCCCCTTTACAATGTGTCTTTTTTCATCTGCCAGCACATTGGCAGCCAAAGGGGAGCAAAATAAGTCCAATATTACTTCTGAGGGCGTGATCATTGCAGTCATTGCTGTAAGAGCATCCTTTATTTTTTTAACCATCCAGACATGCAAGACCAGGAATGCAGGTGAGATGCAAATCCCAGTTGCTTGGGCTGTTTTTCCCAATATTCACGCCTCAGCAGCGATACGCACCAGCAGCAGTTTCCAGAGCTTTGCCTGGTTTCTCAAATGACTGTCAGTAACTTAACTGGCAGTTGCCAGCTTCAGGCTATAACTGGGAAAATGCGCCCACTCAGCTCTGGAGCGGTCCAGGAAAGCATTCCTAATTCCCCCTCCCATTCCCAGCTGAATTGGGGGAGGCAGGGAGGGGAGAAAAGAGCATCAATTGAGGCTTTCACTTCCCAGCAATGATGCTCATCTGCCACTGAAAATTAACTCCGTGTGTGTCTTATTTTCGCTGTGGTTTGCTCTCCGTGGTTGCCAAAAGGGAAATGATACCCCTTCCCCCATGTGCTCATCCCACTGCTGCGGCCGCGCCCCCCTCAGGTCTCGCCCCCGCCGTTACTGCCTGACCTTGTCCTGGCTGCATTACATTTACTGGCACGGGAATAAAGACCTCTCTGCGCTTCACAGGGGGCTTTTCTAAGGACATTCACAGCTGAAGCAGGTAGAAATGAGTGGCTTTCTCTGCAGAGAACTGTTCACTCCCAGAAGACACGGGAACAGAGAGCCTTGAATGGAAGGGACCCAGCATCCGTATGCTGCAGGTGCAGCGACCCCGAGGATGGCCCTTGGACCCTGTCCTGGCTGCAGCCCCTTCGCAGGGGCTCGGCAGGGGCGCGAGGCTGCGGGCGGGCAGGGCGCAGCCAGCGACTCACCTCCCGGGCTGGTCGGGGTATTTGTGTTTGCAGTACGCCTCTAGTGATGCGTACACCTTCTCCCGTAACGCCTCCACTTCAGCCGGGTTGGAGAGACCTTTTGAGTCTGAAAGGCAACGAAAGGACCATCAGCCAAAACCCTCCAGGCTTTCCAGGCAGGCCAGGACCCCTGTGTATCCCCCCAGGATGCACAGCCCCCTCCATCCCTCCTTGCACCACCAGACCAGGGCACAGCATGGACGCGGGGGCTGAAGCCCAGGAATTTGGGGCAGTACGTAACACCTCCCGGGGAGCGTTCAAGCCGTGAAAGGTTTGCCCTGTCACTACAGATCTGTTTTACCCCACCACGTACCCCAACCCCAACCATTTTGCCTCATTCCAGTGGTCACAGAACCTTACAAAAGGGGCTTAAGTCCCCCCCAAGTCCTGGGCTTGTGGGATTTCTCTCTCCAGCGCGAAGCACTGCAGAGCAGGGCTAAACGAAAAGCCCTGGCGCGGCAGGTCCCCCACGACGCGGCGAGGATCTGGTTTTAGTAGGGTGAAAGGGAGAGTCAAGCCATCGATATCCCCAAGCACAGGCACCATGCGAACCTCTCCAGATTCCCCTTCTTCTACCATATATGGCTAATCCCAAATTACAGACAATAAATTACGGGTGATTACACGAGGCGGAGGGGGCGGTGTGGAATAAGTCAAGCAGAAAAACAAACCCAAGAAACAGCAATAAACCCTGTTGAAACGCCCTGGCCTGGGTTCGGTGGGAAAGGCCAAGGAAAGAGCCGGGCTTGGGCACAGACCTGGGGCACAGACCATGCTCCTGCGAGGGCAGGGAGGGGAAGGGGTGGCCGCAGATGTGGAGGTCCATCCTCATCTGCCATCTGCTTTTGCTCTGGACTGACCCGCTCTAAAACACAGAAAACCCCCCAACAGAGCGGCACAGGCATCTGCAGGCTGGCAGCCCATCTATCTCCTGCTGCAGCAGGGCTTTGCTCTCGGAAACGCCGGAGACAACCCCAGCGCTGAACCTTCTCCTTCCCTTGGGCAGCTGGGGCCAAGCGGGAGCAGCGAGCAGCGTGAAGCCTCCTGGAGGCTGTAAAACTAAGCAAGCTGCGGACAAAAGATCAAGTTCTTGGGTATTTTATGAGCACGTTTCATGCCTTTCACCCTCCCCAGGTCTGCAGAGGGCTTTTCCAGAAATGCAGTTAATAGAAGCCCTTGGATGTTGAGATCGGGAAACAGAGGACAATAATGTCAATGCTCTAACTTTGCTCTAATCCATACTTTTGTCTTGAAGGATATCTAGATTCATTTTTGCTGCTATTCAGGGACAAATCCCTCAAGCACCAGATCTTTCTTTGTACCGAGTAGGCTGAAACACTGAAAATAGGAAGACAGGGTACATCGATCAAGCCAAAGCCCTTCAAGCTGAGCAGAGAACTCAGCCCGTCAGTAGGAATCAGCTCCAAAAGCAGCATTCGCCACCTCCTCAGATGATCGCAGCCGAGTCCTGGCCAAGGCTGGGCCCTGCACGGAGAATATTTTGGGCCATGAAACCACGCTACCCTCTACAAAGGGGAAAACACCCCTTGGAAAAGGAGGCATGAAGAGCAACCCTGGGCATGGATCCAGATCCATCCCTGACCTGCAAAGGACATGCTTGTAAGGTGGCAGATGCACGTGAAGCGCTTAATTTGACTTTCATGCTTGCCTCTCTTCCTTTTTGCCCTGTCCTCAGGAGCTGGGTGCCCTCAGTTACTTGCAATGGAGCTTTATAGGTTAAGAAAAGGAGCCGAAAGGACACAGCATCAGCCAAGAGAGGACAGGAGAGAAGGTAATGGCATGTACCGGGGTTGAAGAGGACAATGGCTCGCAGGCAGCCTAGCTCTGTCTTGTCCATCTGCATGTCTCGCATTTTTGACACGAGTTCTGTCAGTACTCTGCAAAGGACACAGAAATCAAAGGCGTCAGTGTTAAAAAGAAATTTAAAAACACCCAGGTGTCAGACCCAGAGTGAGGTCCTCCGGTGCATGGTTAATGAAGTCATGGGATAGTGCTCGCTTATACCAGCTGAGGATATGCCCTCGTTTTCCTCCTGTATCAAAAATAGCTCTTTAGAAACATCAATAGTTCCTGTGAGATACAACAGCGACCATAAAAACTGGCTTCATATATTCACTGAGAGGCTTTGGCACCTGAGAAAGCTGCCTAAAACCAAAAAATAGTAATATAAAAAAAAAACCCAACAGGTATCTAAAAGCAATTTCCTCTGCCGGTAATTTTTATTACTCCCTTTGCTCTTACTGCAGGTGCCGGTCTTGAAATATTTTCGACTGATTGCCCAGTTTTTCCTGTTAGATCCTGCAGTGAAGTCATGATCTTGCACTTATGACCTCACAGGAAACAAATGATGTCACCCAGGTTCGAAGAACAATTTCCTTGCAAAGCAAAGGTGATTTGGTTTCAACTAAGCCGTATCAAGATGAGTCTTGGGCAGAGAAATAAGCCACAAACTAAGCGGTGTCTGGAGCCACACCGTGGGTCAAACATCCTGGAAGTCTGGCTTTAAAACACTTTCCCAAAGCACGAGATTAAAGAGCCCTCAGGATACGTATGTGGAACCTGCTGGGTATTTTTGGTGCTTTTTCCATTGTGAAAATGCAATCACGTCTTGGTCCAATTAAAGATGAAAAGAAATAAAGGAGCGGCCTCCTCGTATCATTAGAAGGCATCTGGACCCCATGAAAGAGGCTTTGATTTGCACTGGGCAGCCCTTTCCCTGACTATTTCGGGCTGTTGGTTTCTGCAGGTTTAAGAGGAGGGATTTAACGTCACTGCCTGCAGCAAGGACCAGGACGTTGCCGTGTGTGCCGTGGGACCGACGCGCCTCAGCCCGGGCTCCTCCGACCACGAGCCCACGTGCCGACGCATCTCCATCCAGCCCCTCCGGCAGGTGGCAACGCGGGGAATGGAGGCAGGCCGGTGCGGAGACAGAGACGGGGATGTCCGGGCAAGGTGGCCTGAGATGTGTTCCCCGCCGTGCATCCCTCCCTCTGCCCACCTGTCGAAGATGGCCCCGACGCCCGCACTGTGCGCGCTGTTCCGGTGCACGTGGAGCCCGGTGGCTAAGAGGATCCCGTCTTTCACGGCTATGGAGCGGTGGGAGAAGGAGGCGATTAGGAGCTCATTCCACCCTGGGGAAGAGAAAACAACCGAGGCCACAGGTTAGAGCCATGGGTCCTCAGCGGGTTTGGGGATCAGCAACGTCACCTCCCTGGCACTAAAAAGAGAGGAGGAAACCGCTCAAGAACTGCCTCTGCTAGAGTAACATGGCTGGATATGGGAAGGGAGGGGGGACCCAACCCTTTCTTGGATGTCAGGGAAGGAAAAAACTATTATGGAGCAAATGCACTAAAAATATAACGCTAATAAGGGAAGCAGTTTCCTCTATAAACCTTGCAGGCACCAGAACAAACAGCTCTCTGCCCTGCTCCTCTCGCTGTGAACCTACGAGTGGGTGTGGAGTCCTGCGTTCCCCGTCTGACCTTCTACTCCACGTCTCTGAGCAGTTAAAGACCTGTTACCGCTTTCTATCAGCTAATGGGGCTCATTTTCAGGCCATAGTGGGGCACAAGAGCTCATTCACCATTATTCAACTGCACAAATTGGGACCATGAAAATTCTTGCTTGCAGGTTTGTTGCTTCTGCCACCTAAATAGTGGAAGGGATTGCCTCTGCTCTCACTTGCCGCTGTACAGGGATGTCCCACGGCCATGACTGCTCCAGGAACAGCTTTCCATAGCTGCTTGGAAATCAGCTTTTGTCTCATTAGTTACTGGGCATGGTACTTGAGGAGATAGGAAAACACATCCTCTGAGCCCGGACACCATGGGAGCAGTTTGAGCTAGTTACAAATGGGGGAAGGAAGGAAGATGCAACCTCCGTCCCCGCCTTCCAGCTCCCCTTCCTAATTTAAAACATCTTCAAATTCTTAAATCTGCTACCAGCTGAGTTCGAGAATGTCTGAAACAAACCCGTAACAAGAAGAAATGCTGTAAAGTTTTGAAGGGTGGAAATTTTGGTGACTTTGAACGAGGAGAAGCATCTTCATTAAGACAAGATGGGTCTTCTGCAACCCTGGGGAGTCTCACGCTCATCACGTGGCTGTTTTACCCAGCCTGAAAATGTTCTGGTGTCCAGAACACAAGGCTGCTTGGCAGGGTCCAGACACATCAGGATATTTGTTTTCTTTTCTTTTTTTCCCCCAGGCTGGAAAAGCAATGCAACAATATCCTTCACCTCCTCTCCTGCCACAGAAACACGTCTTTTCTCACTGACTGGGAGAAATACAAGGTCCACGTGTCCTGTATTTACCTACTGTTGTAGAGCTGGGTTGTGCCATTAGACATGTTGACAGGGAATAAAGTTCCCTCTTTCCTAAGTGGCCACAGGATGTTTCCACCCCAATCACGAGAGCGTTTATTTGGCTATTTACTGGGTGAGGCCTGGCACTTGCAGAGGGATTGCAACACTGTGAAACCCAAGGAGGACGGCGGAGTAGAGGAGTAGACAGAGGACGCACCGGGAGCCTGCAGGAACAGTGCCCCGTGGCTGACGAGGACCTCCCAGAGCCAGACCCACGGAAAGGTGCCGTGGGTGCCTCCCACCAGCGGCCACATGCAGACCCACAGCAGCTCCACACGCAGCCCCTTCCACCCAGTGCTTTCACCAGAGCAGCCCCAAAGAGCTGACAAGATAAAGAGGCAAGCGGGAAAAAATAGGTATAACCACAGGCAGCAAATCTGAGTTAATCAAACAAGTCTACCCTAAGAGTTTTGCATTTCAGCCCAAGCTCTGGAGAAGCAGAGCAGATTTCTTTGACTCTTGCAACTCCTTTCTCATCAAACAAGGTGGCTGCAGCCTGCGGGGATGCTTTGGTTCCTCTGGGGTAGGGAAGGCAGCTGGCAGCGCAGCGACCATCGTGTTAGCCCATCTCGCTACCAAGTTTCCCCATCAGCCCTATAAAATGAACTGCAGCAGGGATGTAGTGCTCAGCATCCCTTGCCAGCCTGGCCTCGATGCAGAGAAAACATCAGGTTACTCCCGTCTCAGCCATAACAAGCTTGGAAACATGAAAACCCAGGGAAGTTGGGTTTCCTTGTCCTCCAAAAAGCTTGGAAAGGGGAGATTTTTAAATGATTCAGGATTAGAGGAAGGCTACTGCCAGCCCGCCCAGCGCCGCCCCTCCAAAGATGCGTGCTCCACTTAATTTTGCCTCCAAGGATGCATGACTGAACCTGACTGACGCTCTCAGCTAAGTTTTAATACTTAAATATTTCATGGGCAGGTTCGCAGCAGGCTGCTCTCCCCACTCAATAATAGATAGAGCCACTGGTAAAAAGACTTGGGGGAGGTTAACTGAGGCCCCAACAGAGACACTTGGAGCAGGGACCCCATCGGAGCCTCTCGAGGTGCTCAGCCCACCCCATGGCCATGGGGTTAGAGTCACCATGAAATCTGGGTTGTGATGGGGTCTGCAGCCCCCTCTCCTCCTACCCCATGAAGTGGCCCCTCCAGGACGCCAGCTCAGAGTTGGGCATAACAAGCACCAGCACAAAGGAGAGAACATCAGGTCAGAAAATCGCCAGTTCAGCTTTCATTAGCCACCTTTTAAAGAGAAAGGAAAACCTTGAACTGTTGTTGTGGGTTTTGTTTCCATTTCACAAAAGAAAAAGGCAGCTTTTTGTCTGAATCCAGTTCTTCCCTGTGATATTTGCAGAAAGCCCTCAAAGATTTCTATAGAGATGCTTCCCCTGCTCATCCACTCTCACAAGAGGCTCTAGAGACCCTCTTCAAAAACACACTTTTTGTATTTTCCAGAGAGGGCCCTGAGCCAGCTCTGGCAATACTCAAACCCACCGCCAAGTCAGAGGAGCACCTTCCCCAAAGCTAGCAGGAGCCGTTTGGGGAGGGCATGGGACTTGGCCAAGTCTGCAGCAAGAATAAAACCCCCAAATTCTCCATTCCCAGAATACTGCTGTAACCACTAGATGAAATGTGACTATAAAAATCTCCTTTCAGTAATATAAGAAGAGTGGAAAACCTACACCAGTAAATGGTGTGACTTAATCGTCCAGAAACCATTGAGGTCAAGGATTTCAGAGAGGTTGCAAGAAGGACTGGGTATTTGTATGTAGGGCCAAGGTACGCAGTTTACACTGGTTGATAGTCAATAAAAAATTGCTGCAAGTATTAGGATTCATGCATTTGGGCTATAGTCAGCCTTATTAAACAAAATGACAGCTAGTGTTTGTGTGGTGGGAAAGGGGAAACATCAACCCTATCATCTACCTGCTCTGGAGCCCTTGTACCTTCTCCTGAAGCAACCTGGACAGACCTTGAACCGGAGTAGTTCTGGCAGTTCCTACATTTTGTGTTGAAGTGAATACTTCGCACTTGGTTCTTAAAGCACTTTCCTGCCCAATGGCATGGGCATCTATCTTGGGGCACACACTTTCTACAGTAAGGAGGCAGGAAT